TTTCTGTTGGTTCAAAGTACATTTTTTTTCGGTGGCAGGATTCCAATAGAAATTGTTTTCAAATCTTTAATGTCAGAATACAAAGTTTTTCGAATTTCCTATAGTTTCAAAGAAATAGCGACCTATAGCGTTAGATCAAAAGAAGTTACCCGTGAACGAATTCTTTATTCTACGAAAGATCAATCAGTTCCTTGTTGTGAAGGAACTTGGACTAAGAATGAAAAAATATTGATTTCAAGATCTTCGTGTTTAGCCGATTCAGAGAGTGGGCAAATTCGAATTCGACATGAACTAAATTTTAGCATCATTATTTTAAACGAAAAGGAGATGCAATTTACCGAACTTCGTAATTCTTTGCCGATTGTCATTACATGCCCGATTAGTAGTAACGATGATATAGGACTTCCTGCATACGATTATCACTGTTTGGACAAAGGAGTCCCCGAAGATTCGTCTTTATATTCAGATACGAATTCACCAACGACGGAATTACTAAACAATTTTTGTGAATTAGATAACAGAGAACTAAATTCTTTACCTTCTTATGATAGTATATCTTCTTTAATACCTACTCCTGTTATTGATACTACATTACCACCATTCTATGTTCTATAATATAGTTTTCCGTTTATTCTATTTTTACCCAATAAGTTCATGCATTATACACAAAAAAATTTTAAATAAAAACAAAAATTAATACTGTATATCTTTTTTTAAGATAATCGAATTAATAACTAATTACCGTAATAAAAATATGTCAAATATGGTTTTTTACATTTAAGTTACTAGAGAATTGCGTACCTACCTAGAATGCCAAGTTCGTGACAATAAATAATTATTGAAATGATATTTTATTTCTTAATTATTTTTTGATCTATTCATCTTTTTTATATAATTATTTTTATATCATAATTATTAATATTCTTTTGACCACTTAACGTAATTCAAAAAAAATTAAATATTTAATTTAATAATAATTCGACTATTTATGGCGAGTAATTAACATATAGAATCCATGCCGATATGTCAATATTTCATTATTAATATACTTTTTTTGAGTTTTTATATAATGTACTGTACATATTTTTTATAACATCAGTCATAATATATAAATAAACAAAAAATATTTTCGTTTTTCTTTCGTTTAAATTATACGATGATTACAAAAGAGATTAAAAAAAAATCATTTATTTATTATTTATTTGATTCTGTTGTACAGTGGATTGCCAAAAGTTTATGGACACTTTTTAAAACTCAGTAAAAAAGTTTTTTAAATAAAAAAAAAATTTTTATATGATAAAATATTTACATATTGACTATATTTCTAATTTTACTTCAATAATCAATATTTTGTTGGTTCTCCCCCAGCTAAAGATGGGTCCCTAAAGTATTTAGCATATAAAATTTATGTCCCTTTACGTCCACGTCTCCTAGAGGACATAATTTCTAGCTCTTTATTTCAATAGGGACATAATTTCAGAAATGATTTGTATAGAT